TTGGCCCAACAGTATCAAAAACATCTTTAACTAAATTAGCAGGTATATTATCAAGGGGGCAGTATGTAGGACGTAGCTGCTTAACTATGTCAGAAAGACAAGAAAGCGTAACCGACTCAAACTGCTGGAAGGCAGCTGATGGGCATGAGGGAAAATCAGATGAATCACTGATAACCATATAGGGTGAAAAATTAAAACCAGCAATTTTGTCCACAAAATATTTCAGAAAGTTTTCGCATAATATTACAGATGGCACAATACAATCAGATTCACGGGGATTAACAAGAGAATTAAAAACATGAAAAAGAACCTGCATCCTTTACTCCTCATAAATGCTCTGTAATTTAATTGAATATTTATTTTGTCATATATATTATTTTGTTATACAGTTTATATGTGTGTGTGTGTGCGCATGCGTGTGTGTCTTTCATTTGTCAAATGGGACAGACAATATCTCTAATTGGTACCTTGTGCTGTCAAGGCATTTGTGGATCTTCTCTTTTGATTCCCCCAGTGAATCCAAAAAGATGGGTATTTGGCCTGAAACAAATACCACAATGCAAAAATATAGTGTCAGAAATAAACACTAAATGATGTGTACTTGTGACATAAAAATACATTAATGCAAATAAAGCTACAGAATGATTGCAGCCAAAAAACTGAAACTAATAAATCAGACAGATAATTTGACAGGAAACGTATGTAAGAAAAACAGCAGATAAATTAGTAATTACAAATTGGTTGTGTGTGGAGAAGTGAAGAAGAGACAGAATTGATCTCTCAACTAGAGAAGGTAATTACAATATCCCAGCACTACATATTTCTAACAGAACAAGGGCAAGGATATGAAAATGTTGTATTATATATTATTTAATGTACCATAATTGTGTATGTCTACTTACAGCAAGAGTCCAGTGTCCATGATCCCCAATAACACCCAGAAACAACTTTAACTCATTTGGGTCTACCTGAAATATGCAGACCATAAGAGCACTGTCTCAACTAAAAATTTCATACACATACAAAACTCGTTCACAGTTTTCATTATGAAAGACTGTCAGTTACTTTGATACTGCACCTTTCTAAGGATTTTGTAGGATGCCTGCCATACCATAGTCTTGGCAAATGAATCAATGAGAAATGCCTTTTCAGCTCTCTCCCGGTTATGCTTCCTTGTTAGTGCAAAGCGGTATGCATTTATAACCTTTGGAAAGACAGCCAGCATTTTTAATGACACTGATATATTTTCATGTAGAGTCATATTGTCTGAATCATGTGTGACTGGCCTACCTCACTCTCCAGTTTTCTCCCAGGTGCAAGCCGTGCTATGTCCCAGTTAAATAATTTATAAAAACCAATCTTAGAGAACAGTAAAGTTTTCCTCTCCTCAGCTTTACCTGACCAAGCTGCACCGACACCCGGCAAAGTTTTGACACACAATGTTAAGAACCACTTAAAAACCTATTTGACAACTTTTAAAATGAAATAACTTAAAATGAAAATAATACAGCATTATACAATAAATGTATCACCTACTTTTCTCAACTTTGGAAAACGTTGGTGCTGGGGGCTGTGGGTCCTGAGGGGTCAGTGCTGGAGACTGTGGGTCCTGAGGGGTCGGTGCTGGAGACTGTGGGTCCTGAGGGGTCGGTGCTGGAGGCTGTGGGTCCTGAGGGGTCGGTGCTGGAGGCTGTGGGTCTTAAGGGGTCGGTGCTGGAGGCTGTGGGCCCTGAACGGTTGGTGCAGGAGGCTGTGTGAAACTTTTTTGAAGTCTGTGAAGCACACATGGCAGTTCTTGAATGTATGGAAACAGATGATCCAAATTAATTTTGAGGAATTTTATCCCTTTCTCATTAATCAAGTCCACATTCTTCCCTTCAATCGATGTTACTTTGAATAGCCCCAGAAGGTCTTTGTCGAGCTTTCCTCCCTTTCTCTCCATACTCCTGACATTCTTCCTGAGAACTTTGTCTCCAATTTTAAGGTGTAGCCCCAAGGCCCAGCTTTCTTCTCCTTGTTTTTTCTCTTTAAGAGCAGGACTGACAATTTCTTCCTCTAAAACTTTCTCCACTGATTCATTAATCTATGCCATAATAAATAAGTAACATTACTTTTACATCACCAATAATTTTAGGCTATCATTATAATATCTATGTTTCAATATGAAGTGTTACATCCCAGTCTAGGGACGGGGCGTAAACAGCAGTAAGGTTCGGGTAATCAGGAACCAGGAGTCAGGAGGTAGAGGATAAGAAGATCGGGGAATAATTAACACCCAAGGCATTGATTGTAACAGAAAATATGTGTATTTTGGGAAATGTTAACTTCAGGAGTGACACAAGCCAAAACAATAAACAAAAACCAAGTGAACTATCTACCCGCGTACCAACGAAACTTCCCTAACCCAAAAGAAAAATGAAACCAAAAGACAAATGCTATCCTAACCCTCTCTAACCACAGAACAGGGACAAAACGTTGTACACGCAGAAAACAAATGGCAGTCACTCCCTACAACCCTTACACCCATACATACACACAGATACAGTATATATACACTCACCTAAAGGATTATTAGGAACACCTGTTCAATTTCTCATTAATGCAATTATCTAATCAACCAATCACATGGCAGTTGCTTCAATGCATTTAGGGGTGTGGTCCTGGTCAAGACAATCTCCTGAACTCC